TCTCTCTCTCTCTCTCTCTCTCTCTCTTTTCTTTTTTTCTCTTTTCTCTTCTATCACATATATCGTTTCGTTTACTCAAGATCGCCCGTTATTATTCGTCTCGCATTCATCTCGCACTCTCAACTTTTTTTTTTTTTTTTTTCTTCTCTCTCTCCGTACAGTCTTTAGGCAATTCTCGTCTCGAGGGTCTTCCACGCAGGAGGAAGCGTACGAAAGATGTTTGCACGCGATAATATACATACGCACGTACATTTGTCGATAATTGGTCCGCTCGTAGAGAAGATTGATGAAAATGAGTAGTGGATCGGAGGAGGAAGGGATCAGATGTGGGATAGAAAGGAGATACGATAATAAAAGACAGAGGAGGGATTATCACACATTTTCACGTCCATAAGCGTTCGTGTTGGAAAGTGAAAGGCGAGTGTGTGAACGACGGCACGGAAGATTAGACGACGTCTTCTTCCCCCTAATGAAAGATCGAGGGTGAATTCGTGGCCGTTCTTTCGAACGTTGATTTGGCACAGAGTAGAGAGGGTTGTGGCGCGTTTCCCTCGCGGTCCGCGTCGAACCCACCGAAACTGTTCTTTCGTTTCTGACGATCGCTTCTAAGGCAAGGTTCGCTAGAAGCTTTGACCATCCCTCACATACCCTCTGTCCCGAAACTACCCACGAACGCCGGCTCGGCTATGTTCGAGTCGCACTGCATCACCCACTCCCAGATCCGTTTCGTGACAACCTTCTGATCGATCGTCGTCTCGAGCCCGTAACTGTTGAGAAGCTTTCTCAACTTGTTCTTGTTCTCGTCCACGTTCCGTTGATCATCAAGGATCGTGTCTAGGTAGAGCAAACTGTCGGCCCTCCTCGCTACACCCTCGCTCGCGTCGACCAGCGTGGAGGTGGCGCTGTGGCTGATCTTGTTCACGCACCACGAGTCTTTCAAGTATTTGTTGATTTCGGTTACGTGCGGCCTCTTCTCGGGCTTGTGCTCGAACGTTCTCCTGAAGTATCGAAGCAGCCTGGGCGTGAACCGTCTGAACGAGGGGGGGACTTTGGTCGTCCTTCTCTTCAACCATCTTTGGAAAGCCGAGTACTCGGGATCTTGAATCAGGTCGGCGGTTTGCCACGGCGGATTCCCCGTCAGGCAGACGAACAGCACGATCCCGAATTGCCAGCAATCGGCGCTCCTCTTGCACGCGTATCTCTCGTTCTTCACTATCTCGTAAATCTCGGGCGGTTGAAAGGGTAGCCAGGTGCACCTGATCTTGTTCACCAGGGTGCCCTCGCGCCTCGTGCACCCGAAATCGCACAGCTTGATTTTCGACATGTCGAGGGCGAACACGAGCACGTTCTCCAACTTGATGTCCCGATGGGCGAGCTGCTTCGAGTGGATGAAGTCGAGCGCGGAGCAAAGCTGGCTGGCGATCCTCTTGCACGCCTCCTCGCTCAAGCCCCCGGCTCTCACGTTCCCCGCCAGGTCCCCGTAAGGGGCGTATTCCTGGGCGAAGACGAAACACTTGTCCGCCTTGAACGCGACCGCGTACGAGCACAGGATGTTGGGGTGCGGGCTCAGATGATACGAGTAGTGGAACTCGCGGAAAAAGTCCTTCTCCGTGGTCAGCTCTTGGTGGACGGCTTTCAAGACCACCCTCGTCCGGGTTGCTCGATGGGTGGCCAACAACACCTTGGCGAAACTCCCCTCCCCGAGGCTCTTCTCCACCTCGTACTCTTTCGAGAGCTCCAATTCCTCCAAAGGAATCTCCTGCACTCTGTGTATTCCGGATTCCTTTTTCTCGTGAAGTTTCATCTGAAATCAAACCGACCCCGTTCTTCTGTTTATCTTCTTCTTTCATTCTCATCTCCTTCGTCAATCGTACTACTACGATCGTGAAAAGTTCTCCTTTTTTTTCGTTCAACGATACTACGCGCCAACCACGACGATGTCGTTCCCAACGAACGGTCGATCGAGCGTTTAACACCGTTTTGTTATCGCGGGGGGGGAGGGGCATCGCTCTCTCTTCGTTTCACGCGATTCGTGAACAATCGTTCGTATCTCTTCGCATCGACGAACGTTACGTGCGCGTTACGCGTGTGTTTTCACGCGTCACGAGAGAAAGATCCTCGTGTCGATCAATTCCGATTTCTCTTTCGGAGTAATAAAATAAATAAATAAAATCGGGAGAAGAGAAATCGCGCGTATAGAGCGTGTAGGCGAAGGACTAAATACAAGGTGGAGAGGCGAGAGGGGTGAATGGTGGAGGTTGGGCGGGTGAACCCAGGACCTTTTCAGCTGCCTAGATCAATAGCAAGGATTTCGCTGCAGCAACGCGCGTCAAATCATCGTTCCTTTATCGCACGGTTCTCGTCCCCGATCATTCCTTGTTGTTCAAAAATCAACAAACTCTTCTCACCGTAGACGAGAAGGAGAAGGAGGAGGAGAAGGAAAAAAGAAAAAAATCGGAGGAGGCGTGCCGTCGTGGCAAAAATTTATCGGTCGTTTCGCTCGGTCCAAAGGCACTTTTTCTTTCTTTTCTTTTCTTTTTTTTTTTTTTTTTTTTTTATAAAAACGTTCGATTCG